GTCTTGGAGTCTTCTCCCTCCTAGGAGATATACCTTAATCACCTAAGTAACACTCAGGTTTCATAAAAATATACACAAGAGGGTGAATTAGCTCTCTTCACCCTGGGTGGCGCCCTCTGAAAAATACAATCATGGATATACTGCTACTGTGTGATCCAATTTTCTTGTGAAAGTGCAGAGTACTCTTTTCTGGAGTAAGGCAGGGTCTGGAAGTCGAACACTTCGGAATTCTAATCCTGACTGGTGATGACTCTATTTGTGGTCTTGGACAAGTCAGATAACCATTATGCTTCAATTTTCCAACCATAAAAATGTGGATATTAATACTTATTTACATACCTCATACTGGTGTTTTGGGATTTTTACTTAATGTGTGTAATGGGCTTTGAAGATAAGAAAGAATTCTATAAATGCTGAATGTTTGTTTATTTTTAAAGGCCCCCTTTCCAAATAGACTCTCTAAAATTTTTACTAGAGAAGACCCGTTAAAAATTAGGTCCTTTAGTGCAAGTGTAGACAAATAACAATCCCAGCAGAAATGTAAGTTGGCTATGTCTCTTATCTGCTTAGCTCGTGACTAGGACATAACAACCTCATTAAACCTGCTTGTTCGCCTTCCTCTTTTTTATTTCAGTTTTTTTAATTCAGACTTCATTGCTTCTACATCTGTTACCATTAAAACTTTCAGAACTTTATTTTCATACTCTTTCATTCAGAATATTGTTTCTATACTGTCTGTGGGTTGGTTTTTCACATATGAACCAGCTATAAAAAGTGTTTTGTTGGTTAATTCAAGTCATGTTGAATAATACTCCCATATACATGTTGAGCAAATATTACCATCTTTAACTTGCCTGACAAACAAGAAAGGCGAGGAAGATTGTTATTCTATTCTTTTATATAGCATTATGGGGAGCATGGCACTTTGCACAGATTCTTGCACCAAGGAGCATATAGTCGAAATAAATGGAAACAGTAAAATTAAAAAGATGAAGCATGAGATTGAGCAGAGTTGATTAATGATAGGAAGTGGGAAATTCTGAGAAAGAGTTAGCGGATTCTTGGGTAGTGTAGTGTGAAAAAGACATGGAGTCAAGCGTGAGAGGAGAAGACTAAAGAAATTATAGGGAGAGCATATGTCTGGAGAGATAGAAACAAAGGATGAGATTAAGCAGCATGAATGCTATGTAGAAGCCTAAGGTGGTAAACAACAAGACTGAAACTGATTTGGAAAGATATAGGAGGCCAGTGAATGATGGAATTCAGTGAGGAGTCAATGATCAGGATGCAAAGAGAGCTACAGTGTTTTGGATGCCCTAGAGACTGAAGTGCTTCGAAGGTTGCAAAAAAAAGATGATATAGTAAAGAAGGCAAGAGACAGTTATGTTTCAGCAGATGAGAGGGAGAGTAAGGGAGATTTTAGAGAGCCTGAAGAGACAGGATTTGGAGAAAGCCTGAATGTGGGGGGTAATTAATAGGGAGGAGTCAAATATGACAACTAGCTTGTGAGTCTTGATAATGGGGAGGTTGATGCAGAGGCAGTGTGTCCTGGTGAATAGAGCACAGGATTAGGACTCAGAAGTTCTGGGATCTATGTCCAGCTCTGCCACTGGCCTGCTGGGTGACCCTGGACAATTCACGTCACTGCCTTGTGCTTCAGTTTCCCCATCTGTAAAATGGGGATAATGATATTGACCTCTTTTCTAGAGCATTTTGAAATCTATGGATGAAAACATTTTTCAGAGGTTGTTGCTGTTGTTATGTTATTTATTTTGTTTATTAAAAGGAGTGAAACAAAAGAGCTTGGGAGGAAAGTTTAAGTTTAGCTTTTGTCATATTGAGTTTAAGATGTTTGTCAGACTTCTAAAATGAACTATGATGCACTCAGAATGGCAAGAAAATATTGGACAAATGACAGAGAGCATAGAAACAGTGAGATTTGTTGACAATGAGGGGATAAGAGAGGGAGCAAGGGGGGATAGGAGTTTGAAGGTATATGATCAATAGACAGCTGAAGGATTGGAGGCAGATAGGAAGATCACAATAAATAGGAAACATTAGGATTAAATGCAATTGTTTAGTACCCTCTGTGGTATGAGAATGTCACCTAAGCATTGCTCAGCAGAGAGATATTTCTTTGAGGCAGGTAAAAGTCTCTTTTAGAAAAAATCAATCTGCTTACATGTTTAGATGTCCTGTGATTATTCATCCCAGTCACCTTTCACCACCACCTTTCAAAGGCTGAGGAAATATCACATCTCTCTTGGTACTTTTGTTTGTCTTTCTGTCCACAGATTTTAACAGGGATCCAGTGCACCAGTTGCATTGTGAAGATTAACTTCCCGTCCAGAAGTTCTGGAAACTTTCTGCCCAGCATTTTCAGTGACTAGTGATATTCCTCAATTTTTGGGTGCCTCTCTTGAGGCACCATGAAAGGGTTAGATTTTCAGAGAATAGTGCTCAGCACTTTATAAAATTGGCCCCTTCAAGGGTTTCAGGTTGTTCACGCAAAACTTTATGAACTCAAAATCCCTATCATCAAGCTGTGTCAGGGACCGGAAGCTCCTAAGTTTGTTCTTGCAGAGTTTCAGGGATTCCACTTGAACATTGTGGCTCTTCCAACTTTGCCACATGGGGGGCAAGAAGGGAGTTCTGCTCCCAAATCCAGAGGCTCATGAGAGACTCACCAGAAGCCAGGGCCTTCTGCACAGCAGCCAGAGTAATATTTCCATGGAGTTTCCCTTCCTGAAGAGTCATGAGAATTATTCAGCATTGGTGACTCACCATAAATTAATGTCTCTTTGATTATATTTTTTCTTTAGATTGTAACGGATATTCAGAAACTGGAGTTACCTTCTGATGCTAACATTTTCAGTTTTCACTAACATTTTTGTCATGATCAATCAATGCAAACATTGTACAAACCTCTGTAGACTCAAACTAATTGCTTTTTAGGAATAAAATATCTTTGTCAATTGAATTATTGTTTAATTAGACATGAATACTTGCCTCTCCTACCACAGAGCTATTTTACTTTATATTTATTTGCTCCTAAATCAAGTGCTTCCACAACAAAGATTTTTTTTTAGCTATATTCAGTATTTTACATGAATCCTAAAATATCTTTTCATTGTAGAGTGTTGTTACCTGAGTTCAAGGGAGACCAAAAAGACTGAGAGTGAAAATGATAGATCAACAAACTGATTTGGAAAAAATAAGGATAGTTCCAAACCTCAGCCCATTTTGAAGGTTCAGATTCGTTCAAATAAATTCCTTCATTTTGAGTCAAGGTCTTTTCCACCTATACTTCTGCTGATATACTACTTTGAGAACACAGCAGATTTGTCAGTCTTTGCTGGGCCTTGCTGCAGTCTTCAAATAACACGTTCACTAGAACTTAGTGTTTCAAAGGTTCATATTGCTATCTGGGGGAGCACAAGAGGTCTGAATACAGTAATCAGTACTGCATTAAGAACATAAGAATGGCCACACTGGGTCAGACCAAAGGTCCATCCAGCCCAGTATCCAGTCTGCCGACAGTGGCCAATGCCAGGTGCCCCAGAGGGCATGAACCTAACAGGTAATGATCAAGTGATCTCTCCCCTGCCATCCATCTCCACCCTCTGACAAACAGAGGCTAGGGACACCATTCCTTACCCATCCTGGCTAATAACCATTAATGGACTTAACCTCCATGAATTTATCTAGTTCTCTTTTAAACCCTGTTATAGTCCTAGCCTTCACAACCTCCTCAGGCAAGGAATTCCACAGGTTGACGGGCTCTGTGTGAAGAAGAACTTCCTTTTATTTGTTTTAAACCTGCTGCCCATTACTTTCATTTGGTGGCCCCTAGTTCTTATGTTATGGGAACAAGTAAATAACTTTTCCTTATTCACTTTCTTCACACCTGTCATGATTTTATGACAGGTTTCAGAGTAGCAGCCGTGTTAGTCTGTATTCGCAAAAAGAAAAGGAGTACTTGTGGCACCTTAGAGACCAACCAATTTATTTGAGCATAAGCTTTTGTGAGCTACAGCTCACTTCATCGGAGCTGTAGCTCACGAAAGCTTATGCTCAAATAAATTGGTTAGTCTCTAAGGTGCCACAAGTACTCCTTTTCTTTTCATGATTTTATATACCTCTATTATATCCCCCCTTAGTCTCCTCTTTTCCAAGCTGAAAAGTCCTAGGCTCATTCACCACAAAAGCCTGATAAGGCCACCACCATTTATTTAACCTGTGGGAAATCTAGGTCAAAATTTTAGGTGGGATGCTTTAAGTTGACTTACCTCTGCATTTGCCTGTTATTGATCTGCTGACACCCAACACCTTTGAAAATCATACCAGTTATTTAGAAGCCTAAATATGGATTTAAGGACTTAGCTTGGAACATTTTATTTTTTTTGTCTAAATTCACCAAAATTACATTGATTGGTGTAATACAAGGAATTTCATCTAGCCCATTTTTCGACACTCACTCTGACTGGATAGGACAGAATATTATCAGTTAATTTTAATATAAACCAGGGGAACAAATCAAGACTAATAATAAAACTTATTTTAAGTAAAAATAACTCCTAAATAAAGCCACTGATAACAAGAGTATAAAATAAGATGAACACCACAAACATAAATGAAAATATTTGGAAAAGGACCACTGTTACAAGCAGTTTATTACCATAGTTTTGGTTTGTACTGGATGCTCTTCAGAAAAATTCCTATGTCTTGTTCCATTAGGATACATGGATTGAGGACTGAGGATAAGGCATCCAGACAAAAGCTGGCACTAACAAAATAATAAGAAAAATGGACAAGACAAAATGATTTATTTTTCACTGTTATATTTCTTGACATAGGGTAATTCTTAACTCGTGACAGATGACAGGCTTGGATAAAACTCATTCAGGCTTACTGCCTCCCTAAGAGTTATCTTGTGAAACTGCTGGACTACAAACTGAGTGACAGCCTGATTCCTTTTGTTCTTGTTAATTTTTCCACAGACGCATTATGAAAATGGAGAGTACATTATCAGGCAAGGGGCTCGAGGGGACACTTTCTTTATAATCAGCAAAGGAAAGGTAAGTTGTTGTCACCCCTTTCAAAGCAAATGTCACGTACAATGATGGTGTAACTCTGGGAATGCAGTGTCAATCAATCCTTTTCTTGCAGGGCCACAAATGTTAGAACATTTCACATTTAATTAAACTTCTTGGCACAGTGTCAGTTGGGGAGAAAAAATCCACACACACCCCAAAGGCAGATCTCACACACTGTTTTACACGTACTCACAATGAACACTTTTTGGTTCATGAAAAAAGTTGTTAAGCCACCTTGGTTGCATGACTAGCAATATCAAGACTTTATTTACAGCATTTCTAGTATAGACATCATCTAAGACTGCCAACATGGGTGCCAGTTATGTTGGTAGGTCTTGTAACATGGATATATGCCTTCTAGGAATGAGACATAACAACTACTATTGAGTTTCATTTAGTCAGTGCAAAGTTGGGCTAGATGTGATCCAGAAATACATATTTTAATCCCTTACTCTAAATATAATAATAATTATTTATTATCTGTATTGCTGTAGCACCTATATGTATATACCATAGATGGATAGAACAAATAAACACTGACTGAACACTTATTTTTTTCAGAGGAACAGCCGTGTTAGTCTGTATTCGCAAAAAGAAAAGGAGTACTTGTGGCACCTTAGAGACTAACCAATTTATTTGAGCAAATTGGTTAGTCTCTAAGGTGCCACAAGTACTCCTTTTCTTTTTACTTATTTTTTTGTTAAGATTTAAATCATGGGGACCCACAGAACTGCTAAGCTGTCTTTCTGAACTAAAATAAAATATATTGTACCATATTTCTATTGAAATTTCTAAAATTTGGTGCCTTCTTTGATGCCTTAGCCTCTACTCAGCAAGTTACAAGGGGGGAAATGCTTTAAACCTCTTAGTTTTCTTTCACAATCTTGGTAGCTTTAGACAATCCTTTTTTGACAGTTGCAAATTCCATTTTATTTGGTGTTAAGCTTGGCAAACACATTGCTCCTTACCACAGCAGGATGCAGATGTTCAAGGGAAGGCACTGCAATTTCCCGCTGCAGAGAATACATACTGAAACACAGATAAAACTAAACAAAAGAGGACAGATAAACTGGTTGGGTCAATCCCAACCTTCTTTTTACCGTTCTTATATTTGCACAAAGTCACAGGTTAATACAGGCAATTTATTATGAAAGGCAACAAAAAAGCCCAGATATTGGGGAAGAAAAGAGAGAGTAGTTTAGTTAGTTCTGACATGACTGCCACACATACAGGGAGGTCTTCTGAGAGAGCGTGTGACATTGCCAGCTCACAAGTACTGAAGCTAGTACTCTGTCTTGCTCACATTCTCTCTGTCTCTGTAACCCATATTTATCAAACAGCTGAAGTCAAATGTTCACTAGAGGGAAAAAAAGCTGTGTGTATTTTCCATGTGAATAAGTCAATCATTGGCAGGTTTTCTAAATGGAGTACATTATGGGGTGTGCATTTATTATGAAGCCTCAGAAAGTTCCTTTATGTTATCCTCCCCCTCCTTCTCCTGTACTCCTCCCCCTTCCCACCCCATCCCTGTATCTTTCATAATACTCTCAAGCTTTTCCAGCTTCTTCTGATCAGGAGTAACTGATCCCATCATAATCTTTTCCTTACCTCTCTGAAGAAGGAAAACCATGACACAAATGATCCCCACATGAACATTCCTTTCCAGACACACTGGCCTAATCTGTATCCTCCTCTACTCGAAACAGGTTGCACCCTATCCTCTGTACTCAGAAGAGTCCCCAGATCCCTGATTGGCAGATTTACCAGTCAGTGTGCAAAATAGACTAATATTTCTGTGCACCCAATTGTCATGGTCTGCCACTAACAGCAATGCCACAATGTTATGGTGGATATCTACATGGGGTCTAAATGTTTTTTTGGCAGACTCCCTTTTCCCTTTATTGCTTATTCCCATGTTGACTGTGAGAGCTGATGGGCAGCCAAGGCAGTTGAAATAAAACAGTGCTTGCTGAAATTTGCCTCAGGCCCTTGACCAGAGACTTGAGATGGAGGCTGTTACAGGGATTCCCACTGTGCCCTATTTAACTATTAGTGTGCACATCCACCTCACTACTACAGATTTCCAGAGAGGACTGTGGTGAAAGGTGATGGATGGCGAAACTGGAGATCAGTAAATTTAATAAATGCCTTTGGCAAGTATATGAAATCTCTGCTTTATATGGGAATGGTGCCATGACAACAACACAGCACAGGCCTGAGTTCCCAGGACTCACCGCCAGAGCCCTGGCACTCAAACAGTTAAATAAGATGGATTATAGTATATGACCATACCTTGCACAGACATGGCCACCCAACATCCCAAACTGAACCCTGGGTCAGACAGTTAAATAAATCAAACAAGGATCTGACTGCAGCCCACGTGCCTGGGCATGTACATGCTGCATGCAATTAATTGGTTTGAATATTTAGAAGACCATTAGTTATAAAGCTGTTTCCAATTTCTGATATTCATATAGCTCAGTGTGTCCAGCAGTGATATCTTGGGCAAAACCTGACAGAACTGAACAAGAAAGGTCTTAAAAATTCCTTAATCCTGGCAGCGTAGCTCCTCTCACAAATTACTCCTTTGGTCTCCCAGGGTATATTTACACTGCAATTAGAAACCTGCGACCGGCCCATGCTAGCGGACTCTGGTTTGCTGGGCTTGGGATAAGGGGCTGCTTAATTGCAATGTAGATGTCTAGGCTCAGGCTGAAGCCCTGCTGCTGGGATCCTGCAAGGTGAATAAATTGTTTACTATCAATAGTTTGCACTCTTCTGCTCACCACATGCTGATAGTCTGGCACCATTCAGTGCTCAGTCAGTAGAGTGAAATCATGTGCCATGCTGTGCTGTAGCATGCCATTTTTCCTGTAAAAATCAATGTCACAAATGTAATAGGTGCATTATTGGTGCCATATTATCTGGTGATTAATGTGTATCATCACTTTAAACTGTGATCCCTTGGCATTTCTTTTCTAGGACACACAGAGGATCACAGAGAAACAGATTAAAATGTATTAAGTCTTTCTTTACTTAGTTTTTTTCCATCTGCTACAAACAGTTTTATCCAATCTGTTACGCTTTCCCTACCCTCATCTGATCTTTGATAACTCACTGCAAAACTTTATTGTAGGCTGAGTGCTCATTAATGACTCAAAACCACTATGTTGAGCACCCATAACAAGAGACAGTAGACGGTAGAGGAAATGGGTTTTTTTTAGGTTTTCACAACAAAATTAAACTAGAAAGCTTTCCATATCCCCCATATCAGAACTAAATTAAACTGTTTGAAATCCCAAAATGCTTTGTGAATTTGCATATGCAGAATCTGAGATTTTCACAAAATGCAAGTGGGATTTGCAAATTTGATCTAAGGGTGAAATGTTGCCATTTTCCTCTGCCCACTAAATTTATTGCACTGGATGTTGCACCTGGCCCAGCATCCTCTCTCAATCTGACCATTTTAAAACATTCAGAGTTCACCCTAGTTAAGTCTAGGTTCAAAGAAAAGAATTGCGTTTCATATGAGGGTCATATACATCCCAGATCTACCTATCACCTTTTCAAGGGGTTTCTGAATCTTTGGTGGACTAATGGAGTGTGCTGTATTATCCTTAATACTAGTGGTATATCCAGAAATGATTTGCCTTGCAGTAGTTGCTAGGAGTTTACCAATTTGTCATGGAGACACAACAAGCTACAAGGAAATCAGGGTTTCTTATTATCTTAATGCAAAGTAGAATGGTCTTCAGAAGAGCAATTAGAAGATATTAGAAGAAAAATTAAAAAGAATTAGCACCTCCAGTGCTGGAACTCCATCTCCTATGGATGTGAAGACCTCCAACCATTGTGTATTGCCCATATATATTTTTTTAATCTGTGCCTACATCAGGCTCACACTATGCATCATTTTTCAGTTGTGTTGGAAATCCACTTTTCATCTGCAAAACCTGCTTTTCTTTTTCACAGCAAAAAAATGTCAAGGCACAGCTGCAGACTGCCACTTTTCATTCATTAAATTGGCAAAGGTGGTTAAAGGCTGTTAAGCCACATTTGCAGTTTTTAATTTTATTATATTGCTTTTTATTTTCATTTTTTAAATCAAAAATATATGGCAGTTCTTTATTTCTGCTCCAGCTAGCATTTGGGGTCCATGACTGTGTCCTTTCATTGCATTCAATGATTCAAAGAGGAAGGGTTTTCATTCTGTAATGTTCTCTCTTCATTTCAGCTTGTAGACTGGTTTCCTGATTAGTGAATGGTGCAGAACAGAATAACCTAGAACTCTGTAAAAAGAAGCCCACATAATAAGTCCATCTTGTAATATAAAAGATTTGGACCTCCAGTTCTAGAGCTGACTCCATACAAACAGACCCCTGTGCTCACACAGTCAATTGCCAGATTGGGGCCTCAAACGCAAAAATAAATGAGAGGGCACGATTCATATTAGTATTTTCAAAAATAATACATACCCCAATAAAAAGTAATTATACATTTCCATGAATGGCCTAAGAGGCTTGTTTGGGGAACTGGCCATAGTAGTACGCTTGATTACATAGATCTAAAATGGTGATTGGCAAGGCTCTAAGGAAGTTCAGGATACAGGAATTATCAAGTTAACCAGATAGGAACCTGAATCGGTTATTAATTGAAAATGCCATCAGATGACTCATACATTCCCAAATGAGTAGGTTTTATTAATAAAACATTTTGGTTTTTTTCTTTTCCACAGGTAAATGTTACTCGTGAAGATTCACCCAGTGAAGAGCCAATCTTTCTCCGCACTTTAGGGAAAGGAGATTGGTTTGGAGAAAAAGCACTTCAGGGGTAAGTACTACAAATTATATAGCTGTTCAACTGTGATTCACTGCAGATAGGGATTCTGGAATAGCTTATTGGGGTCTTGCAGCTAGAAGATAGAACTGAATTCTAAGCAATCTTGCTGAGTCATCGTCCTGGAGGCACTGATAACCAGTCTGTAGTGAAGGTTTGTTGCATTGGAATTTGGCCTTAACTTGGTATTAAAATCCCTGTTTTGTACTTAAATGTCTGAATGTAGACCTCAATTTGGGTCTGATAAGCTTTTCTTATTTTTAAAATTTTCCACCTTGTGGTATGTTTCATGTGTTGGGTGAGCACAGGGGTTAATGTTATGTCTATGTTAATATTATATATTATGTCTATGTTAATATTAAATAGGAGTATAGAAGTGTAATACTCCATTTCTTCAATGGTGTACTAAAGGTACATAGGGAAGGCAATGTAGAGACTTTTTATAGGTTTAGATGTACAGTAGAACATTCAGGGATATAGTTGCATGACTCCTATTAATGTTAGTGGGCACCATACAGTTAAATCTCCCATTCTTAAAATTTACCTCTGCCTATAAGCTCTATGGCAACCTTTCCTTTTCTTTCTCATATTGTAACCTCCACATTCAGTCATTTACAAACCAGTCTTCGTCAAAAGAGCCCAAGAACCCTTTTAGCCAAATTTTGTGGCACTTCTGACATCTAGAGAGAACTGGCCAACATTATTACCCATCTCAAGTGTCCAAAACTCATGAGTCAGAGGCAGGCCCACCAAAACCACGAGATCAACTTAAAAACCATGAGCTTTTTTAAATAATAAATTTGAGGTTATTTTAATTTGCCTTCTGATTTTCTAACCTTTACGGTATACTTGAGCAATATATCCAAGCTTTTCTCTGTAGCCATGAGAGCTAGAAACTTTTTTTTTTTTACGAAAACTGAAATTCTCAGAAAACCACATGACTCCAGGAGCTTGGGTTTCAAGAAAAACACCAAATATCATAAAACTTGCAAGAAAATTTTGAGAGTTGGCAACTCTGGGCCAAATAAGTCTGGAAACAAACAGGTCTGAGAAATAGAAGAAGGCTCATAACGCACCTTCTCAAACAACTTCTAATAATACAACTACTCCAGAGTTTAGGTTCTTATTTTTTAATAACGAATTTTTTAAAAAAAATTCAAATACAGTTGTGTTTGTTAGCTGCCTTAGACTAAAATGAATTAATTCACAATAGGTATTTAAACAATTTGTATATTTTAAAATATTCAATATGAAATGGCTTTTATCTTCTGAAATTAACCTGAAATCTTGCTATAATTGGTATTGTATTTTCAATGTATAGAGGTAGGATAATACCCAGATGCTTTTTGTATGAAAGTGTACATATCTGAGATACTGCAGGCTCAGTTTACTAGTAAACTCAGTAATGCTGTAGGTAGACTTAAATTTGATAGTTTGGAAGTATATCTGCAGCTAGATAAATAACTGACAACATATATATGATAAATGTTTAGACGTCACTGTTGTTTAAAATGCAGGATGTGTCTATATGCTTCTATTAAATGTTTGTGAATATGAGTTTAATATAGATAGATATAGACAAGCGGTACATGTTTTCTTTTGATATTTTCTTTGTACCTAGTTAACAGCTAAAGATAATTTTTCAAAGCTTTCTTTGGAATTTTTAGTCATGTGACACCCATTGACTTCAATTGGAATTGTTCAACAATAACTTCATCCAATGCTGTGAAAATTTACCCCACAGTGATAATGTGTTAAAAGTAAAAACTGAGCTTCATGTGTAATTTCATATGCATTTTATCCAGTTACAATTAATAGCAATAGGGAGTATTTTACTGTTTCAGCAATGCTGAATAGTTGCAGTCTTCATTATGCATATTGCTGCACAGAAGGAATTTGGATAACAAGTATTTTGTATGATACGTTGGAAATACTTACGCTGACGTACAAGTCCTGTGATAACATGCATTATCCTATTTTTCTAGCCAGTATACCACACATTTCATTTTACACTATCCCAGTCACAATAACAGAAACAAAACAAGTCACAAAATTACCACAGCCATATTTTTTACAGTAATAGTTAAACTTCCCAACACATTTGCCTTTCAGTTTCCTGTCTAATTCAGTCTGAGATGACAATATATACTGTAGGACTAGAAATAGTCACTGTACATTATTTTTTGCTGTATTTCATAGTTAAATTAATTTTTGACAATTTTTTAATATTGATTATTTCTAGCAACAGGCAGGTGGCAGGACTCATCTACATAGTCCAGCAGGGAGCATGAAAATAATGTAATGTAAACATCTATTGCACCTAAACAGCCCTATAGTAGCTTATCCATTCTGTTGTGCTCTTTCTGTACCATACCAATGGAGAATAACATCAGCAGCTGAATTCTAGCATTTTCCAAAAATGTGAGATACAAGGGATTCTAATCTGTAGTGTAGATACACTAATGCAGTGGTTCTCAACCTTTTGGGGCTCAGGACCCATTTGTAAATGTTTATGGCCCGTCACAACTCAGTAAATAGTCTTGGGGTGGAGGCCATGGGGCAGAACTGTAACTAGGCATTTTAGCTCCGGGGGTGAGCAATCATATTTTGTGCCCGCCACCAGAGGTGACATGGTGGGAGGGGCCCCCAATTTTTTAGTTGTCCCACCCCTCCAACCCAGACAGCCTGGGTGGCCTGCTGAGGTTCATCAGAGGGTGGAGGTGGTGCTCCCCTACCAAGCCCCACCTCCTAGCATCACCTGCCTGAGCCACCCAAGCTCTTGTGCTGTGAGGCTGGCTGGGCTTGGCTCTCCACTCCGGGCATTGCAAACTCCAGGGTTGCAGCGCCATTCACCCCTGCCTTCCTTGCTGAACCAAATTTGTGTAAGTGGAGTTGTGACCTGACTCATGAGGTTGCAGTGCCACTCACTCAAATTTGGCCTAACCAGACTCCAAACCTGAGTGGTGCTGGGACCCTGGAGGTTGCAGGGAGGCAAGCCCAGCCAGGCCTTTGGGACAGGAGCCACCTGTGACCCTTTGAAACATTCTGGTGACCCAATTTTGGGACCCAACCCTCTGGTTGAGAACCTCTGCACTATTGTACCCCTTTCAGAAATCCAGTGTCAGTGTTTCTAGAATATGGTGTTCATTAAACCCATCTTCCTTGTTCCCCCTCTTTCCTTTCCTCCTGAAAGCTTCAAAATGTTATCTCACTGAAGCTCTCAGCTCTTATTGACTAAGGATCCCAACAGTCACTTCCAGACTCTCATATGCCATATGGCAATGTAAAGCCTGCCAGGTCATTAATAACCATTGATAACTGCTACAGAACCTTGGCAGTACATTTTTATAATTCTCAACAGATTGAACAAATATCATTAGTCCATAAGCTATATGAGTACAGTGTAACAGCCTATTACAATTAACACCTGTGAATCAAATGTACTCTTTCTTTTTGCTGCTCTGTTGTTTCTGTAAATTAACTGTGGCTCCTAAATTAGGGATTTTCAACCACTTTTGACATTATTAGCATATTTTTATGCTGCTTTTCTTTGGAACTTGCCAAATAATGCCCCTTAAAATATACAGCTTCATCCTTTAATTTTCCATGTATTTTTTTTTAAAAGGGGTTGGCAGTCAATGGAAGGATAGAGTAACAGTGAAGGAAAGAAAACTTTCCTTAATTTTAACACTCCAGTGAAATCATGTAAAAAGAAGTATTTTTTCCATTTAAATCTTTCATGTGGATGGAGGGAGAATTGTGAGGAGCTGCCCTTCTTCTGGGTAGATGAGGAAGGACGTGGTACTTGATTTGTTTAGCCAGGCATTTTGAGCCTGACAGACTTTCCCCATTCCTGAAATTTCCTATGTTGTGAATTTTAGTTAAAGTTTCAGTATTGCCAACTTGCATTATTTTTAATGTAAGTCTCACAATATCTGAATGTTTCTATTATTTATCTATTTATTTGTATTACTGTAGTGCCAAGGAGGCCTAGTCATGGACCAGGTGTTGGATCATGCTAGGTGTTGTACAAAGACAGGAAAAAAAGGCAGAACAAAAAGACAGACTCTGCCTCAAGTTGCTAACAAGTATAAGACCAGAGACAACAGATGGAGGTGTACAAGTAAACACCGTAATACTATTGGTCAACGTGATAGGCAGTGATCTCTGCACACCAACCAGACTAAACATTGTTAAGCTTTTGTACGCATCACAGTAAAGGAGCGTGTTAAAGAGGGATTTCAAGATAGACGGTGAGGTAACTTTGCATATGGGGAGTGCCTCCCAACTGTGTTGGGCAGCCTGGGAGAAAGCACGAAGTTGTTTGTTTGAAAATTTAACAAGTAGGCAGTGGAGACTGGCATCATGGGTTAAATGGAGGTGGACATAAAAATCTTGATAGGGAATGAGAGATGATAGATAGGGTAGGGATTGACTTTGAAAGGCCTTGAAAGTCAAACAAGCATCTAAAGTTTGATGTGATCGAGAAGGGTGAGCCAGTGGAGGGATTGAAACAAGGGTGTAATCACAGACAGTGGGTGAACCCCCGCTTTGGGGAGGCAAGCCCACTGGACATGCCCCATCCCCCTGAGGCCCCATCCCCTGCATGCTGGAGCCCCAAACCCCCCATAACAGAAGGAGCCCTGAGGGCCCCCCCTGCAACTGTAAGAGTCCCGGCCTGCCTACCCCAGCCAGACTGGGCCGTCCCCCCTCCCAAAGCACCGGTCTGGTCTTAGCCATACTGGGCTGAGCCACCACAACCCTGCCAGGCCGGCAATGCTAGGCTGAGCCACTGGGCCAGCCGGGGCCACGCCAGGCCCCTGAGCCGTCGGCCACGCTGAGTGCCAGGCTGAGCCGTCGCCACCTGGCCTCCGGCCACACTGGGCTAAGCCGCCGGCCATGCTGGGCTGAGCTGCTGCCCCCCACCCCAGCCACATCAGGCTGACCTGCTGGGCCGCCCCCGGCCATGCCGCCCCCCCTCCCTGAGCTGCTGG